ATCGTAGTAATGCTATCCGCCGTACACGAAGATCTCGTCGGCGCGACACAGATTCCGCCGCCGACTCCGACGACGCTGCTGGCGACGAGAACACCAACATACCTTCTGCACGCCTCCTAGCCGAGACCGAACCCCAGCCCGCCGACAACAGTGGTGATGAATGGCTAGATGACGGCGGCCTCCCTCCTAACCAGAGAGCTGGTCACAACATCGTCAATCTACTTTTCCGAGTTTCCGAGGACAATGCAAAGCGAAACGGCTGCGTCCACAGAGGTTGCCAGTGCAATTCATGCGGCATGGTGCCCATTCGAGGAGTTCGATATAGGTGCGCCAACTGCGCCGACTTTGATCTCTGCGAGACCTGCGAGTCACAGTGTGTGCATACAAGGACGCATATCTTTTACAAAATTAGAGTTCCCGCTCCTCCGTTTGGCCCCAGGCAAATGCAGCCCGTCTGGTACACGGGCGACCCTGATACCTGTCGACGAAACCTCCCAAAGAATCTGATTGCGAAACTCACCAAGGAAACCGGTTTTGAACGTCCCGAGCTCGAGGCTTTCTGGGAACAGTGGACATTCATGGCAAATACAGAATGGCGAGAGGATCCCGATGAACTATTCCTTGCGATGGATCGCAAGACGTTTGAACGATGTCTTGTACCCACCGGTCGTTCGCGCCATGCGCCTCCAAATCTTATCCACGATCGCATGTTTACTTTTTATGACTGGAACAAGGACGGATACATTGGCTTCTCGGAATTTCTCGTTGGATTGTCATATCGGAAACGGAAAGATAAGCTACACAAGATCTTTGAGGGGTACGACATTGATGGAGATGGTTACGTGAGCCGAAAGGACTTCTTGCGTATGTTTCGAGCATACTACGTCCTCTACAAGCAGATGCATAAGGACATCCTCGATGGCTTGGAAGACCAACTCTTCGCAAACACGGAAGCACAACAACTCGCGGCTAGTCGTCAACCACTCAGTAGCCTGTTTGGGCGTGAGGGAGGGGTTCCTAGCGGGGACGAAGGCATGCGTTTTGAAGGCAAAACCGTTCACCGGGATGGTACTGTTGAAGTAGCCGAGAGTCATCGAGCTGCTGTGTCCAAAGATAGAGATGATACCGTAAGTCGCCAGGAAATACTCACGAGTCTCTTTGCATACGACGGCGACTGGCCCTCCCGCTGGCAGTCCGAGGCAAGGGTAAGGCTGAGCCATAACGAGGAGGATAATCAGAACCACGACGGAAATGCAAGGACTCTGGGAGTAACGGAAGGCGACCGACCTTACCTGGTTACACTTATTGAGCCCCCTACATCGCTCGACGAGCTGCCCGATGCAGTCATGGGAGACCATACTCTTGCTGTAGAGGACGAGGAACACGATGCTGAATCTCGAGATGAGGAGATGGGGCATAATGGGTATCCAAGGCCCATAAATACTGAAATTGAGGACCTGATTGAAGCTCAGAACTACACGCGACAGCGACTATCGAAGTCGGAGAAGCGCAGGCGGGATATGGCCCGGTCACGACTCCATGACCGATGGAGACGCCGAGAGTTTTATCTTGATGAAGAAGAAGGCGCCACGGCTCCAGAAGGATGGACTGAAGCAGACGAATACCCTCCGCTGGACGAGACTGAGGCAGGAGAGAGCTCCACGTCCATAGAACACTCATCAGGCCCATCCCGATCACGGTCCAGCTCAAAGGAGCGGTTTGCCCACGATGACGAAGCTAATGAGAGCCGATCCAACCACTCTGCATCTTCCAGGGGCATGTCAGAGCGAGGGAGGGCTCCCGAAATTCCCAGCGTCGAACGAGACGCAGGGAAGGAAATCATGTACCAGGTGACACAGCAAGCATTCAACGAGCTTCTAGATGCTATCTTCAAGCCCGCAGAAGATCTTTACATTGAAGCTCGCCGGACTAAGAGGTTCCGCGAAAAATTCCGGGATCTAATTGAAGTTTATCCCATGCCCGAAGATGGCAATCCACCGAAAACCCCCGAGGGCTATGCGTCTCCCGCAGCGGAGGTGCAATCGCCAAAGGTAAAATCTCTGGAGGAACTCTTGGCCGAAACTGGTTACTCGATAGATCAAGATGTCGACCAGGATGTCGAGCAAGAGGTCAACCCCGAAATAGGTCAGATTGGTGCCTATGATGCGGAGTGGTGGTCCCATGAACGCGATCCAACATTTCCACAGTTCCGCCCGAACCAAAGGACATGGGAGGACGTGTTTCGATCAGGGCTGACAACCTATCCTAAAACCCGACCCTCTCCAAGCGAAACCAGCACTGTCTATGATGTCACCGATGAGCTCCTTTATAGCTGGAAGAAACTGACCATTGCCGAAGAAGAGGCGGCAGCCAGGAGGGGGTGGGGCAAACTGAGCTTTGAGGAATTCGAAGAAATCTATCGAAATCAAGAGTTCCGGGGTAACAGGCTGGATTATCTGGGTAGCTGGATCGACTTCTGTATTCCATAGGAAGAATATGAGCGGAAAAGAAATGTGGGATGACGGGAGATTATGGGATGTACTTTAAAATTCACCTTGAGAGGTTTATTCAGCGAGCAGCGTTACAGGATTATAAGCTCGAGATGCTTGTCATTAATGAAAGGCCAGCGGGAGTAAAGCATACATAGCACTATGATAAAAGCATGACACATTATTACTTGCAATTTGAACCACTTCTTCTCCAGGACTGGGTTCCTGGGCACATCTGTTTCATTGGTATTCAGTCTTGATCTCTTCCTTGTATTTTCTCCATGCTTAAATGATCCTTTTCCCAATCCCATAACTTTCCTTGCCAACTCTTTCGAAGGGGGGTGTCTCGTTAATAGATGTTGTTGCTCATTAAATCATCAAACCATATGCAACAGGTACACAAAATGTATTTATCAAACTATTGAAGAAATTGAAGCGCCCAGGGTGTGAGGGGGGCAAAATCGTAAAGGTAACTTTTAATTATTCAGGAATGTACTCGTCGGTACTTTGATCCGGCTTCGAGGGAACTGTTTTGCACATGCCCATACTGGACAGGGGGATCATGGTTCGCGGAGCTGCAAAGCTCCTTGGGAAAAGGTGAAAATACACATATCAGCTTATCGAGCGGCTTTGCTGTGGTCCCTCGTTCACGCAAGTCTCGAATGGCCGATGTGCTTCCAAGATTCCCCTGTAAGGCAATGACCAGATGCGAGAGAACTGGGTGGAAGAGCAAGTGCTCTTTGAATCATTCAAGATTCTGTTCATATCGCTTGATGACAGTAGAGGGAAGGGTCGAGATGATCATGTTTCTTGGTATATGTGCGCTTCGGCACTTGTGAGTTGCGGTTGACATCTCTTGTCGCTGTTTCCCTTTTTGTTGTCTGATCTTTATGCTGTCTCATTGCTTGGCCTTATTGTCTGTATGTTTCCGGTATGTGCAAATATAATTTCATGGTGTTTGGATCAGCCCGTCCTCGGGCCATTGTAAGAAATCGGTCCACAGGCATTCCTCGTTCAAGAGAGCCAGTGAGTCGTCTTGCGGCAGGGCAACAACGCTCCCAGGGCCAGAGGTAGAGCCAGAGGCTGAGCTGGAGCCAATATCGGACAGCTCGCCCAAGTGACCGGTGAACAGAGACTCGTTGAACCACGAGAAGTCGTCCATGCCCGAGCTCGGCGTGACGGGCTCCGGGTCGGCCGTCGCATCCTCGGGAATCATCTCCACTGCTGAGCAGTCTCTACTGGTGGCAGCTAGCCTCTGCCTCTTGACATACTCGACGGGGGTCATGCCCACGCATCGCTTAAACACCCGGTGGAAGTGCCACTTGGACAGGCCGACCTCCTTGGCCATCTGGCCGAGGCTTAACCTGGCGCCGGCCTTGCCAGCTCTGCAGGACTTGCTCTCGCCGCCGTCGCGGACAAAGGCGCGTATCCGCCTTACCGCCCGCTCTTCGGGCATGAGGCCCTCGACCTCGGGCTTACACCGCTTGCAGGCGCGGAAGCCAGCGTCCTGCGCCTGGCGCGAGGTCTGGTAGAAGGTCACATTGGCCCGGCGGGCCAGGCGGGCTTTACAGATGGGCCGGCAGTAGATCTTGGTGGAGCGCACGCCGTAGACGAAGAAGCCGTCCGAGACGGGGTTCCGGGTCTGCAGGGCATTCCACCGCGACTCGTCGTCATCGAAGAAGGACATGACGGGGGAAGCTTCCATGGTGGGCAACAGTAATTCTATTCTTGATGCGGGAGAGGGCAATGGAGGCGAGGGAGATGGAGGAGAAAAAGAAACGTTTTGTCTTTCTAAGTGCAGCAGACCGGTCTGACTGATCTGACGGCGTCAAAGTCAAGGGCCAGCAGGCGATGAACTAGGTTCTGTGGTTGGTCCACCTGGATCTCGGGGGAGACGTGGTGGGTAGATCAGGAACAGCGGCAACAACGACCAGGTTGATAAAGAACGCGGATGCAAGTTGACGTGACATGAAGGATACAGTCAATTCTCTTGTTAGATGCAGGAATCTGGAAGCCCAGAAGCTGGCTTGTGTTGTAACTGGTGTAGTCATTCATACGATTATCAAAAGCGGGGCCCTTGCTCTCAAATTGACCAATCGGAACGCAGAGCCCGCACCAGCGTACCAGGCACTGAAGCTGGGGGAAGGAAGGAGGCATCGTGACTTTTCTTGCTGCTGCTCGAGGCTTCTACTTTTTCTGAGACATGATCCCTCAAAGCTTTGCTGTCCTTTCTCTCAGTCATTTCCTTTTTTTTTTTTTTCTTCCTGTTTTTCCCTTTCAAATTTTTTACCCTACCCCGTACCCGCCTCTCCGTTGCTCCCAAACTCTCAACTCTCTCCCCCCAGCACGCATTGTTTCGGTCCCCTCAGCCAAGAGACCGGGGTAATAGCAAGACTTTCCTAATCCATCCACATTCAAGATCATCCTCTGTCAGATGCTCCGTATTTTGGTGTTTAGCCTTTTCGACTCAAGACTCCCTGTCGAAGATACAACGCTTGTCTGTTGGCCATCTTAAACAAACTGCCACCCTGCTTCGATCTGATGCTGGGCCTCCACACCCTGAGGCTGAACCACAGGGGTGCTAGAAGGACCTGAATTGATCGTATGCTTTATCACCATATTCATCATTAGCTTTCCCCAGAACAACGTCCACAAGCAGGATGAACTAACCACACCATTTGCTACCTCGCTCACGGGCGCTGGTGCAGACTTGGGCCCCGGCACGGGCTTGGGTATAGTCTCAAGTGCAGGCGCAGGCGCAGGCACAACCATTCTCTGCTGTACAGCTGGCAGCCGGGCCATCCACTTGTGAAGTACCAGGGCAATTTCGTCGCTGTTCTTCTCCAGAAACATCAGGCGGCCGTTTCCGCGAATGCACAATTGCTCGAGGCGGAGCCAGTTGACTTGTAATCCCGCCTGCTTCATGAATGCCACAGTGGCCCAGTCGAAGATCGAGTGCGAGCTGGCCTCGGCCGTGATGACGGCGTGGGGAACCTTTTTCAAGTGAATAAGCTGGTGGAAGATCATCTCGCCTCCATCCGTAACCCTGACGGGATTCTGCATGAAGCATGATTTGCGGGGATCCTCTGGGTTAGTGTATTCACAAAGAGGGAAGAGGGGGTTATTTCTCCTGTCCACAGTTGGGTCTGGGATGATGGCCTCTGGCTTGGGAAGGGGAGGGTCGTACGTCAAAGGGATATCTGCCAGGCCCCATTCTCTGACCTCTGGGTCAAACACAGCACGGTGACCATAGAGTCTGCCTCTGCTCCGGGCGCTCCCAAAAGGTGGTCCGGAAGGTTCAATACTCAGGACTCCAGCAACCAGACCATGCATCACATCTGTTGTTAGCCAAGCCATAATGCATCCAGTCCCCTCACCGATGAGGACGGCTTTTCCAGTTCTCTGAAGCAGGGCGGAAAGTGCCTCCTGGGCTTGGGTTTGTCGCTGCTAGCGATCAGTCTCAAGGACGGTGACAGATGCCATGTACTGAGTGAAAACCGGGTCTCCCTGGCGACCATCCTGTCCTTCTGTTAACGAGCTAGGTCTTCTAAGGATTTTATTGCAGCGAAACGACGGCGATAACCTACACCTGGCCATTGGGTATGACGAGCAACGGTTTCCCAAGAACTCGCCTGATGCCAAGGGTACTTCTCCGGGCAGGTAAGCTCTTGCTCGACCGTTTGGGGCGTGAGGGAGCTCAGTTTAGCCATGTTGCCTCCCATGGCCGAGGGATGCTTTCCGGATCGTCCAACTCCAGGCAGGTCCACCAAATACACATGATAGCCTTGCTTCAAGAAGTAGGCTGCCCATCCCGGATTTCCGTCCGGCTTGTCCAGCCAGACCTGAGTTTTCAGCAAACAAGGGCCTTTGGAGAATGCTCAAGCATTTACATACCTTTCCGCTATGGAAATCACCATGAATGAGAACCAGAGGATAGGGTTGCGTCACGTTCTCTGGCTCAAGGCTCTCGACATACATGTGGCCAGAGAGGTGAGTTCTAAGACCTCGGGGCCATTCGGGGTGAATGTAGAAGGTTTTGCGTCGGCAAGGAGGCTCGAGGGATCCTGCAGGCTGTTGGATCTGCTGCTGGTGGGAAGCAGATGGCAGCGAGCTGCCGTTGTCACCTTGAGACAAGACCATGGCCTTTTCTTGGTGGTCGCACGATCAGTCGAGGCCTGCTAAACTTCTAAATCCGGCTCAAGGTTGGGCGTAAAGCAAGGAGAGAAGGAGGAAATCGAGGTGTGGAAAGGAAGTGCTGGGTTTTATAGCTGAGTTTCAAGGTGCGCATCTGCTAAGGTGAGCTCAATCTGAGAACGAAGACTAAGTGACGGGCCGAAACGCGTTGTGAACTGTGAACAATAGAAGTTACCGGTCTCTCACCCCCCGTTGGGTTCTCACAATGCCCTCGAGCAGCCATGAATGAACTACATAGTTGTCAATTGAATCTGCTGCTGCTGCCTGATTTTAGGCATTAATTCATTCGGAAAGTCATTGCGCATTCAGAAATAATGTCGCTGGTCAAGCAAACTGTATCACATGTGATGAAAAAGTCACATGTTGTGATACGCAATTTCCTATATCATGACTATTGTTCAAAATAGCAAATCTGCGCCGACTTATTGTCCACGCTCCAGGGATTTTACTTGATATTCTTATTGCTTTCTTAATTCCATCATCGTTAATGCCGTGCTATCTTCCTATTGATGCCTAAAGAGGGCACCTTTCATGTTAAGTGAAGGTGTTGAAACGTTGTCTATTATCCCGGATTGCCCCACAATTGGAAGAGAGGAAGAAGATTATCAACTTGTTAGAAGTCAAGTATTGGTGTCAAGAATGTGATTCATGCCATTTCATCATTGCTGCCGTCTCTCGTCGTTTTCATCATCTTCTCCAAGGAAGGCGACGGAGCCGATTCGCATCAATATTTTCCTCCACACAGGTTGCACAATTTCCCAGAACAACACCACAATGGCCTTTTTCAGTCTCAGACACCTTCCAAACTTGACCCAAAGTAGCAAGAAAGACAAGGAGTCTCGTAGCATAAAGGTTACAAGCGTCTCAGCAAAGAGAGGACAGAGTACCACCTCACGGTGACGTGGGCGCTGGCGCATCGTCCTTCATGTCAGGGATCCACCCCTTAGGTCGCTCACTTCCACGGACGACGATTCCATAGCCGAGCTTTTCAACTTTCTGAACGCTCTGCCGCATGACCTCCATTTTGCCCTTATAGTCCCTGGTCGGGATCTCGGGCAGCATCTCATAGGCACAGCTCAGCTCGTGGATGTCGGACAAGATGTTGCGCCCGGCCTCGTTGCCTACCAGCTCGCCCATCTGGGCCGTAGTCACGGTCGCGAAACGCATCATCTCGCCAAACAGGTCGAAAACTCCGTAGAGGTAGTCGTGCGGCGTGAGAGAGATGTCCGCGGGCATTGCGGCATCAACGTCGCCCTTCGGGATGAGTGTCTGGTGGCGAAGGTAGTGCAGGAATGACAGGGCCTCCACGAACTCCTCGAGGCACCGGAGTGAGTAGGAGTAGCGGTACCGGTTAAGGGACTGGAGGTCGGGGACCACGGATGCCAGAAGCTTGGAGATGTCTTCAAGCTTTGAATCGACATCTTTCTGGGTGCCTGGGGGGATATCCTTGCCCAGGTGCTTGACTCTGTGACCCGGTTAGACTCCATTGAAAATAAGTAGCTTTCTCCTGTTCATGCTCACCTTTGAAGAGAAAATATTCTGCAAGACAACAAGAAAAAGCATCAAGCGTTAGCAGTATAGCTCTGGAAGGCAAAATGTTGATGGTTGCTCACATCTTCTTGCTCAAGGCGGTCACATCACGAGAGGCCTTGATTATTCGCTCTCGCCTATCGTGATGCTCGTCAAGCTCGTCCCTGAAGCCTTCAAACATATCATGGAACCGGCCTCGGGGACCATCCTGGGGTGCTGGCTTCACTCTTGCGTTCCCATCCCGGTCTCTCTTAACGCCCGACATGGTAGAAACAGCAAGTGTAATAGTGCGACCCACGTCGATGATGGGTATTCAATTATGTATTTAAAGACACCGTGGATGAATATATCAGGTCATCCCCGAATGATAGCTTGTGGAGGATGCGCAGACGACTCTGGATGGCCTCGTCGTTTGATGGATAGTTGGATGGAGGTCGAAGATATGTGGGGCCTGAAACTCGACTCTGCCCGCTGAGAAAACACTGCCGTCTGCCAGTGTGAGAGCACCACAAAGAGCCCCCCCCAAACCCCTAATATAACAGCCAGATCGCCGAAAGCTGAGCTGTTGCCTGATGAAATCTCGGGGTCAGAGGAGCAGTAATTGAGGCCTACGAGCGACCACTCTCTCAATTCCTCAGTTTTGGTTAAATCTAGTCTTTCCGTCTTTCACTTTTCCTTTTTTCTCATTGAGCATGCGGTGCGACCAGACACAGCTCATCTCTTGATACCCTCACCACCACAGCATAGCACCATGATCCCCTCAGCCCTCTTCCGGCCACTGCCGCTATTCTCTATAGCCGCTGTGCTCCGTCTCACTCTCCTTGTCTATGGCATCTGGCAAGATGCCAATTCCGCCTTGAAATACACTGACATTGACTACCTCGTCTTCACCGACGCTTCCCGCCTCCTGGCCAAGGGACAGAGCCCCTACGACCGCGACACCTACCGCTACACCCCTCTGCTCGCTTGGCTCCTCCTGCCCACCGCCGCCGGCCCCTCCTCCTCCGTCCTCTTCTCCTTCGGCAAGGTCGTCTTCGCCCTGGCCGACCTGCTCGCGGGGTGGCTCCTCCTCCGCATGCTGCAGGCCCGCCGCGGCATGACCCCCGAGAGGAGCGGCGCCTTCGCCGCCCTCTGGCTCTGGAACCCGATGGTCGCCACCATCAGCACCAGGGGCAGCTCCGAGGGCCTCCTAGGCGTGCTCACCGCGGGCCTGCTCTGGGCCGTCGAGCGGAGGCGGGTCAGCCTGGCCGGCGTGATCCTCGGCCTCGGCGTCCACTTCAAGATCTACCCCTTCATCTACGCGCCGGCCATCATCTGGTGGATGGACGCCGAGCGGGCTGGCGGCTCTGTAAACCAGATGAGGAGGCCTTCCATAAAGGACCGGCTCCTGTACTTCATCACACTGTCCAGGATCGAGCTGGCCATCGTCAGTCTGGCCACCTTCATGCTCCTCAACATCCTCATGTACTCCATGTAAGCCAAACCAAGCAACACAACACCTCCCATATATAATTTCATAAAGTCTAACAATGAAATTCTCCCCTCTCAAGCTATGGACACCCATTCCTCCTCCACACATTCCTCCACCACGTCACCCGCATCGACCACCGCCACAACTTCTCCGCCTACAACACCCTGCTCTACCTCAACTCGGCGGACCCCTCCGCCCCCTCCTCGTGGCACGCCGAGTCCCTGGCCTTCATCCCCCAGCTCCTCCTCGCCTGCCTGCTCATCCCCCTCGCCATCGCCAAGAAGGACCTCGCCACCTCCATGCTGGCGCAGACATTCGCCTTTGTCACGTTCAACAAGGTCTGCACCTCCCAGGTAAGCATCATCACTCTCTTTACTTCCTTTGACAAGAAAGAAAGAAAAACAGCTCCAAGTTGCTCACGCCCCTTGTAACCAGTACTTCCTCTGGTACATGGTATTCCTACCACTCTACCTCCCCAACTCCTCCCTCCTCCGCAACCCCAAGCTCGGCATCTCAGCCCTCCTGCTCTGGGTCGGCACCCAGGGCGCGTGGCTCCAGCAGGGCTACCAGCTCGAGTTCCTGGGCAACAGCACATTCTTCCCGGGGCTCTGGCTCTCCTCACTCGCCTTCTTCGCCACAAATTGCTGGATCCTTGGCATCATTATCAGTGATGGGGCCTCTGACAAGAGCGCAGCTAGTACACAGTAGCTATGATAGTAGATATTATATAGGCCGGGACTAGACACCCTCCATCATGGTTTCTTATCCCCTTGATGTTACAAGAGTATTTACTTGCAAGACAATTACTCGTGGTTCATGAGCGGACAAATAGAATAAAAAGGGCTTCAATAATTTAGTCAATAGCTAAACTCACTGCTCAAATTTTGATCTGGGTGGTCTGAAAACACTCTTCCCGCAGTTCATACCAGTTCATCGTAACCATGTCCAACCTTTTGCACATCCTTAACTCCAGAAACCGCCTAGAGCCCGCCCACTCTGGGTATAAATTAAATGCGGAGTTTTCGTTCACCTCCTAAGATTCATAACTCTGACAGCGTCATGTCAGTCAAAACAAAACAAAAATGGCAAAATAGGAGCACCAAGAAAGGAGTCGAATGAGCACCAAATGTTTCAAGATGGGGAGAATTTTTTGAGGCTTCAGGGCAGATCCCATCAGCCTAATGCGCAGTTCAAGCCGAGATTCATTGCAGGCTTCCTTCCTCAATGGATCGTCATTCGGTTCGCGAGCAACCGATAATTTTCAAGTTTCAGAGACGTAATCTTGGTCTGGCAGGGGTTTTCTGGGGCAACCACCATGCGACCTTCCTTGTTATATATGATGTTGCCAAACGAATGGCTCAGCTCCACAAAGGTAACTTGCGGGCGTGCGCGGTTCATCTCGCTGATGATCCGCTCGCTCCACACACCCGAGCAAACACCGTTTTGTAAGAGGAAGAACGGGTTCAAGGCTGGCAGTACAGAATCTTATTTTAGTTAGCAGAGTACTCCATTGAGTGTGGGGAAGATGTTGAGGATGGAAATTCTTACCCAGGTCCACAAATCGAATCCTCATGTATTCGACTTGATTTAGTACCGCCAAGGAACGAACGGCAGACACGACAAGCTTTTCGAAGGCCTCGATAAAGCCCAGATCCTGGATTCCGGATCCAGACTCGTGAAAACTAGCCAGAGGGCGGCAGCAATTCTTGACGGTCAAATCAAGCGATTTAAGCCTGGTATTGCGGGGATCGACAGACCGCATGGCGGTATCGAGAAACATATGGCAGACACGGCCCGTGTAGGACAAGTGTTCGAGTTGAGACAAGTTGGCAGCCATCACACTGCAGAAATGGCTCCTTACAGCGGCCTTGGAAAAGAATGCCGGCATTACAGGTTCCCGTCGATAATCGGTTTCGAGACAGAGCTTGAGGTTTGAGATGTTTGGTGGGAGCTGGGGCAGAAACTCGCACAGGGTGATATAAGACTTCGACTTGGGCCTACTATACGAACCGTCCCAGTGTGTCAAATTTGGTAGCGCGCCAAGGACAGTCGAAAAGTCCTCGTTGTCACGCATCAAATTCCACTGGCCCTTCGTAATCAAGGTCGAAACCGAAGATATGGGGGTCAATGATCTCGAGCCTGCACTGCCGTTGTCCCGGCTGTGAAAATGATGGACTTTGGGCGCCTTGCGTCGTTCACCTCCCTCCAACGACAACACCTGCACATTCGGTAGAGTGGCTGCCACAAACCGGAAAACGCCCTCCAAGGTACAATTGTTCCCAGGCAACACGTAAGCGGCATTCGTTAGACCATCAGTCGTCACAGTAGGCAGGCTTAGGCTGGGTGACATAACCAGGCGACCATATGAGGGCTGGAACACTGGGAACCATATCTCCATGTGCATTACATACGACTGGAGATGCTGATTCTGGGCAAAGTGCAGCATCGCCCCTTCCAGTGAGTCGAATGTCCCCTGGAGCTTGATGTGCCTGTAGAGCCTTTGCTGCACGAGGATTCTCCATACTTGGCTAACTAGGGCCAGCTCCGTCAACTGCCTCCTCCTCGCGTGGCGCATGGCAGTCCCCCAGCTCCTGCGGATGCTTGATACTTCCATGCCGCTTCTTGAGGTTGGGGAAATCCGAAAGCCAAAAATATGGTCTAGGATGGCTTCAAGGACCTCGATTGGCAGATCTTGGAGGCCAATGCTGGGCACGGCTTGGTAGACCGAGTCAAACAGCGTGATCTCCGAATCACTTGCATCATCCATCTGCGATCCCGAGTCATTTTCCGAGTCGTCCATACGAGCGTATGGTCTCTGATGCTCGGTGAATGGAAATGGTGTGCTCTTCGGTCGGAGAGGAGTGTCAAAGTCCATTTCGATGGACTCTTCGGCGGGTGGGCTAGATGACCCTGGTGTTCCAATATTCGAACTTGGCTCGATGAGTTTGGAAATGGGCGAAGCCGCGAAGTTGCCAAAGAAGTGCTCCTCTCTCCTCCCTTCGTGTGACATGCAGTTTTCTAATCTCATTCTCTCCATTCCTTGGACGGGGACGGCGGCCTCGGCATTAGCGTTGGGTACACGGCGTCGGCGTCTGGCTGTTACAGAGCGGGGGGACGAGTGTTGGGTAGCGTGCTGTGGTTGGAGACGACGGCAAGTAGGCTTATGGGATTGGCGACGACGGCAGCATCTCGCGTCACAATTCGACATTTCGACCATAGGATGAGGAGGGGGCCTCAGGAGGGTGGTGGCACGAGACAGCCAGCAGGCTGTCGTACCCAGCCCGAGAAGTTGGTATCAACAGAGGACTCGCACTCAAACGTCTCACATGAACACAGCCTGGGCGGCAATAGAAGAATAACACTTGTCGTCGTCGGCGGCAGCGGCGGTGGCGGCTGGAGATTGTGTTGCAAGGAGAAAACGAGATTGTGGTCTGAGGTGTCTGTCTTTAATTAATTAGTCGGTGCAAGGCGCCGTGTGGTCGTCGTCTAGACCCAAGCCACCGCGGTACACAGGCGGTTCAGCGTCAAGTCAGGGCAAGAGAATATGCAAGAGGACCAGGCGGAGGCGGTAAATCAAGTGGCGTCGTGGTTATGGCATGAACAGTTTTATTGATGTCCTGGAACGTCGGGGCAGTGAAGGCGCGGGAGCCAAGGAGGAAAGGAAATTACACAGGCAAGATAAGGTATGGGGTGGAGGAGGTGCTGGAAACCGAAGCAGGTCCTCATTCCAGGAAGGCGAGTCACGTCCTTGGGCCAGCGTCTGTCAGCGTCTCTGTCGGGAAGTGCGAATGAGGATGCGACACATAGGTAAGGAGGGAACCCGATCCCAACGAGTGAGGCGAGCGAGCGACGAATGGGGGCGGATCTGTTTTGTCTGTCTGTCTGTCCGTCCGTGTTTGTTTGCTGGAGGTGCGTGGCTGGCTGCTGGCACTTTACGCGCTGAGGTGGTAATTTGGGGCTGGCTGCACCAATGGAATGGACGTGCACAGCACAGCACAGCGGGTGGTGGTGGCAGAAGAGCTAATGGGTAATTTAATGGCATCCATCCGGTCGAGTTAGCAGGTCGGTACCAGCAGCACTACTTGTAAGTGCTTGCATTATTAGTACCCTCGCCGGAATGGGGCACCTGGCTGCAGCCGGAGATAGTGGATGGAACCTGCCCTTAGTCAGAGGCATACTCAGCGTGCAGGCAGGTGCAGTCCACTCCTCACTCCTCGCAGCACCTCAGGCTTCCATGTCAGTCTCAGGCAGCGCTCGGGTTGCACCTCGTCGAGGGCATTGTACAGGGCTTGTGCTAATTATGCCACGGCCGTCTGCTGCGTTTCATGTGCATGCATCGATCTGAGCCGCAACGTCGCGTGCCGCAAAGCCCCTTCTGGTGAGGGGTCCCCGTTTTCCTCCCATTGACCTAATACGATACGAGAAGCCCGCTGCCCAAAGAGGTGCCAGCACGAGGAGTGAGGGCGACCGATCAATGCCTCTCCAGGCGTTCCATCGGCAGCGCTGCACACCCACCAGGCTGAGGTGACGTGAACTGGATGAGCCACATGATACTGAGACAGACACCACCTGCCCACCGACCACCTCGAATGACGAACATGTGTAGGTATCTGCCGTGTGTATCCATCATTGTTCTTTGTTTTGCTTACTTCCTTTCTGCCCTTATTTGTTCGCTTCAGTGGACAATCAGGTGGGCGGAGCGCATGACGGATGACGCATCAAACAGATCCCTTACTACATCTCCATATCATGCACAACTACCACGGCGGTGACTACGTGTGATTCACACCAGCAGCGGCTTCGCTGCGGCATGACCCTCATTTCTCGTGACAACATCCTTATCTTCTTGTGGCCCCGCGGCCCCCGACTGGCTAAAATGCAATACCATCTGGTTTAGAACATTGTCCGTGCCAGGATACCTTCCAGACCTCAACTTCGGTCTCTGCTTGGAATGCACATCGATAACATGCTCCAGTTTTCTGAGTATCGATTCCTCATCCCGTCTTCCGACTTGTTGGTCCTCATGGCGTGCAGGCGAATTGTCAAGACGCAATTGTACTAAGTTGCTAGTACTAAAAGCCTAATCGATCCACCACGACAAAAAGTTCCGGAATGGGATGAGTTGATATCAGAGGCATTATATTCTTTCCTCCGGGCCATATCCAAGATATCAGGTTTTCCCGGGCTTCCATCCTATATATTCATATCCATGGATGAGCTATTGGAAAACCAAGGTCGCAAATGGAGCAGACCGAGCCGCAGAGACCGACCAAGAGGATCGCCCTACCATGGCGGCGGGCATAGATGATCTCCCGTCCATGATTGTATTACCTAACCCAACCTTCGTCGTAAATGCACATGCCTCCTACTCTGTACTGCTCTCTGGGATCAGCAATTGTGGCGAGAGAACTCAACCCTGAGATGCCTGATAGCATGCCGGCTAACAAAGATTATTTTAAAATACGGCACATCGTTGGTCCAAACCGGCAGGTGAGTCTGCTTCTGTGTTTGTTCATATTGGAAGGCATGTTCATCATCACAATGACACAAATGGCGCATGGTTTTGCTTCCTACATCCTATGGCTGGCCAAAAGAAGCCGCAGGCTCCCAACATGAGCTGACATTCTGTCAGCCTCCATAGCGTCATGCAAGGCTACACCGAGGATCTCATAGATCTGTGCTTTTTTTAATATGGCGTACTAAAATAC